TTAATAAAAATTGAATAATGTTAGATTAAATTGTAATAAAATTTTAATTTTTATTAAAAAATTTTAGAAAGAAGATTATGTAAAAAATATATTTTTATAGCCTATTTAAGTATCTATAAAAAAATCTACCTTTCAACTTTGCTCAACTTGATTGACATATTATAAAAGTATAAAAATAAATTCTGATATAAATTATCAAAAATTGTTAATAGTATATCATAATAAATTAGAACTATATTTAAAAATAATAAAAGTCTGATTAGAGCTCTAAATTAGATTAAGTTGATCTATTTATCTGACTTGATTTAATCTAGAAATTCAGATTAAGTTAGTAGATTTTTAGTTTATGTTATATTAGATCAATAGATCAATCTGATTTAATCTAACTTGACAAAATTCAGGTCAACCAATATTATTCTTAAATAATATTTTTATCATACTAAATGATATTTTATTATTAATTAGAATAATTCATTATTATTCTTAAATGATAATTTTATTGTTTAATTAGAATAATTCATTATTATTCTTGAATAATATTTTTATCATTTAATTAGATGATTTATCATTCTTGAATAATAGTTTTATCTTCTTTAAATGATAGTTTATTATTCTTAAATGATGATTTTATTATTTAATTAGAATAATTTATTATTATTTTTAAATGATAGTATAATTATTTTTGAATGATGATATTACCATTTTTGAATGATAAATTTATCATTCAAGAATAATTTTTTATCATTTAATTAGAATAATTCATTATTATTCTTAAATGATGATTTTATCATTCTTGAATAATATTTTACTATTTAATTAGAATAATTAGTTATTATTGAATAATATTTTATTATTCAAGAATAATATTTTTATCATTCAATTAGAATGATTTATTATCATTCAAGAATAATATTTTTATCATTCAATTAGAATGATTTATTATCATTCTTGAATAATATTTTAATCATTCAAAAATAGTTTTATTATTCAACTAAAATGATTTATTATTATTTAAGAATAATATATTTATCATTTAAAAATAATGTTTTATCATTCAAGAATGATATTTTATCATTTAGTTAAAATGATTTATTATTATTTTTGAATTATATTTTATCATTCAATTAGAATAATTCATTATTATTCAAGAATAATATTTTATTATTCAATTAAAATGATTCATTATTATACTAAATGATATTTTATCATATAAGAATAATAATTTATTATTCTTGAACAATCTTTTATTATTCAATTAAAACAATTCATTATTATTCAAGAAGAATATTTTTATTATTTAAGAATAATGTTTTTATCATTCTTTTTGAATGATAGCTAATTATTCTTCTATAATAATTCAATTAGATCAGATCAGGTCAAATAAAAATTTAAATTAAATCAGATCAGATTTTTGTTTGATCTGATTTAATTTTCTCAGTTCAGGTAATTTGATTAATCTAATTGATCTGTTTAGAGCTATAAACCTAATTAAATATTAATTAAATATATAACATATTGTATATTAATAATATATTAATAAATTTATTTTAAAATTTTAAGTATTATATTATGTTCAGAGATTTTTGATAAGGATCAGTATTAAAATATTAAAAATATAAAGAAATATTATAAATAAATTATAATATAATTAAATATTTACTTATTTATTTAAAAATAAATAATTAAATTTAAATCTTATTTAAGTATTAATAATTATAAATATATCTTTAAAAAAGTAAATAATTAAAAATTTTTATTTAAAAATACTTTTAAATTTGATATATATTAAAACTTTAATACAATTATTATTTTTTAATATATAATATATTTATAATAATTAAATTATTTTAGATAATAAATTAAATAATTTTAAGTAATATTTATTAATATTATATAAATCAATAAATAAATAGAAAAGTATAATATATTTATGTTAAAATTAATAAAATAATTGAATTTAAAGTAGCTTCAAAATTTTTTTAGTTTTATAATAATTCTAATTATATATTTTAAAAAGATTAATAATTTTATAATTTTAAATTTATTATAATATCTCTTTTAAAAAATATTTTTTATAAAGATATTTTTTTTTTTTTATATTTCTAATAATTATATAATACAATTATTTTAAGGTTTAAATTTTTTTTAAAATATATATTATAATATAATTAAATGTTTATATAATTAACTTCTGTATAATTATATCTTTTTATAATAATCTAATTTTATAAACTAATTCAAATATTATTAAATTATTTTTTCTATAATAATAAATCAACTATAATTGTTATTACTATATAGTACTTAATGTATATATTATATTGATTAATAATTAAATTTTTATATAATTATAAATAAGATATTAATAATTAAAAATCATAACTTAAAATATTATGATAAAAAAATATAGATATCTTTTAAAAATTTTTCAATATATATAAAATATTTTTTTGATATTAAAATTATATAAATATGTTTATATATGTAATTCAAACTATCTATAAATATCAATAGTTAAAAGTACATATAATTACTAATTACTAATTTTTATTTTTATTATAATTTATATAATTTATAATAGTTTTATTTCATTCATTATCATTTGTAATAATTATTATTATATTAAATATTTTAAATAGTATATAGATTGATTATTAGAAAAATCAGATTCTAAAAATTTTTTAATAAAATTGAGATTTTTATTGTATTTTTAATTTTTAATATTAAATGCAATAAGTTTTTAATTTTAGTTAAAAATTTTTCAAAATCTGATTTTTCTAAAAATCTTCTTATATATTGATATATTATATAAATTTGATTAATATTAAAACCTAATAATATAAATATTAAATTTTTTATTAAAAAAAATTTACAAAATAAAAAAAAAAATAAATTTTAAAACTTATTTTTAAAAATAATATTATAAAAAGCTATTAAAAAAATTTATAAAATAAAATGTTAATTAAATATTTCTTAAATAAAATTTAAAATTTACACTCTAAAAGTAATATTATAAAATATAATATTAAATTATTTTAAAAATAAAAAGAAAATATTATTATATTAGCTAAATGTTTTAATAAAAGTATTTTAAAAAATCTATTATAGTTCCTTTTAAAAAAGCTAAATACTACATATTTTATAAAAAAAAATTAATTTTATTTAATTAATAAAAAAAATTTAATATATTTAATTATCAATCTGTATATGATCTATAGTATTACATATAATTTTTTATTTTAATGATTAAGTATAAATAGTTTATAAAAAAATAATACTATTTTAAAATCTTATTATTATTGTTTTATTTAAATGTCTAAAATTTATGAAGTTGTTATTTTTTTATTAACAACAGATTTCTTAATATCAGATTTATATTATAGATTATATTTTCATTTTTGATAGCAAAAAAAAAACAATAATAAATAAATTTTATATTACTTTTCTATTTGTATTGGTTAAATTACAAAAGTTACTTTTAATAATAAATACTTTTATGAAATTTTAATATCTCTTTTACTTTTGATTATATTTATACCTTAGGTATTTTTCAAGTAAAGTAAAAAATAATTCCTCTACTATAATTTCAAATTTATATGCTAGTATATTTCAAATATAAACTCACTTTTCTGATCTACTTATAATAAAATAGAATGATAAAAGTATAATTTTCTAATTATCTCCAAATATTCCTTTTTTCATTTTCATTTTTTATTAGAAAATATCAAATTTTTGTTTACAGAATTGATTCTTTATTATGTAAGGATTAGAATAATGGGATCAGGATATAAAGCTTTACTTAATAATAAATATCTTAATAAACTAGCAATATTTGTATATACAATTGAGAACAATAATTATACTTAAAATTTATTAAAATCAAAAAGTTAAAAATGGTTTTATAGCTATTTTCCAAATAAAAACTGAAATATTTCAAAATTTATAAAATCATATAAGGAAACCATCTTTTTGGTTTTAAAAACTCATTTACTCAAGATTTAATTCAAAAAATTTAAATTTCACATGCTCTTCAAAAGACAGATGGAATTAACAGACTTAACTCAAATTTTTGGTGATAATAAATCAACTTACTATTAGAATGTTAACAAATAATACTCAACAGTAAGTTTTTTTAGATTGATAACAGATTTAGAATTTTTAAAATTTCTATCGCTTAATAAATAATTTGTACAAAATTAAAATTAATCCAATTCTTCTCTTTAGAGCACAAAATAATAGACATAATAACATGAATGACTATAGAAAAACAATAATTTAATTAATGATATTATTTGGATAAATATTGGATGAAACAAATAAACCCATTATCTATTTTATTTAAAATAGCTTTATTAAACTGTTTCATAGAGTAAGGCACAACTTTTCTTCTTACAAGAATATACATAATTATAATCTTTTATATTTTGCATAATAACAGGTAAAATTAAATATTCGATTAATGAACTTCCTGGTCCGAGATTTTAACAAAATTGAAAACCAAAAATTTCAACTATAACAAAAATATATAGTCCTAATGTCGTTAATAGTAATATTGTCAAAGAATTTTCCGTTTTCTTTGTTTATATTAAAAAAAAAAAAGGAAAACCAACTCCCCGGAGAAGTAATTAATACGAAACATATAAAGATGGGGTAAAATGATAAAATAATAACGTTTCATGTTCTCAAATACTATGGTCGAATTAAATTCACGTGATTAATTAAAGAATAAAGACAATCCTCATTTCGTTACTTTTCCGGACAAAATACTGGAACAAACTCCTTATTTTAAAAAAAGCGGGTTTATTTTTTACAAAAATCTTTGTCCAATTACAAGGATAACAAAGCAAAAGAAACCCAATCTATCAATTGGGAATGATCTATTTATTTATTTATTTATTTTTTTTTTTTTTGCAACATATATAAATAATCATCCATTATTATTATTATTTTTTTTTTTTGATTTCTCAAAAACAAAATCTTCCGAGTTTAAAAAAAAAAAAATGTTCAAGTATTTATATTTTGTTTTGTTCATTTTACTTCAATTAGCTATAAATTGTCAAACGAAATCATTTAAACCATCGCATAGATATCTGCATACCACTACACTTATTGATAATAAATTATATATTTTGGGCGGGCACCAAAATTTTAACTCTACTATAAATGCTGGCAAAGAGTTTTTTTATCTCGATGTATCCATTTCATTCGATACTCAAAATTTATTATGGTATGATTTAACAAACATTAATATCATCCCAACACATGCTTTTGCAACGACAGTTAGAGGGGCAAATAATGATACATTAATTGTATATGGAGGAAGAAATTTAACAAATGCGGAAACCATGGCCCAAATTTATGTGTTCGATTCGCAGAGTAATTCGTGGTATATTCCATCGACAACGGGAGTAAACTATGTCAAAAGGAGAGGACTAACCGCTAAGATTGATAATAATGGGAAGATATACTTATTTGGTGGATGGATAATAGGTAGTAACTATGTGAATGAAATGCTCATTTTAGATACTATTAATTTAACATGGAGAGAAGGGAGTTCTCAAGACGCACCCGTTCCAAGAATAAATTATGGAGCGGTACTTTTGCCTAATCAAAATATTATTTACTTGGGTGGGATGATGCATGCTAATAGAATTTCACCATTAAATGAGGTAAATTATTAAGTTATTTCGATATGTTTATGAAGTTTCAAGCAATTAATTGATTAGAGCGAATTCAATTATTTTTACAGGTTTATTCATATGATACTATTCATGATAAATGGAGCACAATAGTAAGTCAAAATACCTTTTCATTATCACAAACACCATTTTTAATAAGAATTTTGTTAACATGCGATAATTATTTTATTCAACTAAAGAAAACTTCAGGATCAATACCTTCTGATAGATTTGGTTTTTCTGCTGTTCTTGGTAATTATTTGATCAAGTGAAATGACATTCTTTTAATTCAATTACTGATTTTCGTTGGTCATTATAGGATTGGATAATCAACGGATTATAATATTTGGAGGAAATGAAACAAGTGAGATCAGTTCACTTTATTCATTAGACGTAAACGAATTTAAGTGGTATGTACCAAAGGTTTATGGAATTCTCCCAACATCTCGATATTGTCATAAAGCGAATGTGGTTGGAAACTATATGATCGTATCCTTTGGTAAAGATTTAAATCTGATTTATTAAATATTTGTAATAATAATTTTATAATTAATTTGATTTTAAATTTGATAGGACTTGGTTATAATCCAGATGTTGAACATGATATATTATTGCTCGATATAAGTAATGACGATGAATATAAATGGACAACAGAATTTAATCCTTCATATTTGTCATCACCTCCGACACCGATGCGTAAATCTACGAACATACCAACTTTGGTCGGTACAATTATCGCATCTTTATCTGGCGGTAGTTTTTTCACAATTGGAATGCTTTATCTATACAGATGGATTGAGAATAGACGAAGAAACAAGGTTGCAGTATTAGAAGTCCCTGGAAGTTACGTACGTGAATAATTACCGAAGGTTACAAACTGCTGTGCATACAACATCGTCATATAACATTTAAATCAAGCCGACATAAAGCAAAATTTAAGACATATCCCTAAGAAGAAACATTTCATATATGACGGTTTCCAACAAAAAATAAATAAATAAATAGCGGGTACTATTTATGATATTGCACTTATGGAATGGAATGATTATTTGTGTTAATCAACATGAAACTCGAATTCCAATTACCAGTTTGCTTGTAATAGAGTCAATAACTGCAACTTGTTCAAATAAGACGAAAGGCTAAAATAGTATATATTCAAAATTGTGCTGCGCCAATCTGTGACCTTTAAGTATGAAATAACGCTTCGAAAAGTTTCCTAATATGAACTAAAATTAATAAAAATACGATAAAAATACATTTAAAAGTAATTATTTTTTTCGCTTATTTTTTTAATTTTTAATTTCTTAAGATTTATCTCTGACTTCCTTTACCTGTCTTTATCATCAATTTTTCAATTTATTTTAAAATTTGGTAATATGTGAAAATCATTAAAACTTTTAAACATGTAGAATTTTTGATGAAAAAAATACATAAAATGTATAAATATCGGTCATAGTTACTGTAGTATGAAATAAATAAAAATAAATGAAACACCAAATCGCTACTGTAAATCAGGGTCTCTGAAACACGTTTTCCGGCGTGGATATCTTGACCAAGGTTGAAGGTGAAGCGGAGAACTAACTGGGATCGAGTTTAACTTTAACTAATGAGTTAACCTACCCTTCGAATTTGATAATATTCAATTTGAGCAATGCCTCGCCTTTAGTTTGAGTTGATGTTCCGCGTCACATTTTAATGACCTTAGACAATTCGGTGAACCTGATACCATAAAAGAAGTGGACATGACTTTCCGTCACATCCTTTTAAAAATTAGCACGAAATCATTTGAAAATTCTTAATGAGATTCAAACCTTCACCTACATGATTTCGTTAAGATTTTTAATAACTTGTAAATATTTAAAATTTTGTAATACAAATAAAAATTTTCGAAATTTACTTTACAATTCCGTTTGTATTTGACCATTGAAAAGGATCTATCTTTGGCATTTTACTAGATAATTTTTTTTTTTTTTGTTTTTTGTTGTATGATTTGTTTATTATTTCCTTATATTTGTTCCATGAATAAAAGGATTTCTTCTTGAGATCTACATCATTATTCTTTGTTTCCAATATTCGAAACATCATTTGAATAACCCCCGAATAATAAATATTTCATGGTAATATAGTAAATAAAACGCTTTTGTCCACATGATTAATATATAATCCGTATATATTTATTTATGCGAGATTAAATATTTATTATTTTTTTCCTGGTAATACCAATCAGCTTTTGAATTTAAAAATTAGCAGTAGATTTACTAAAATCAAACATTGTAAAACTTTATAGACTAATGATGATAGTTGTGCAACAAATCAAATTATTACCTAATTGGTTGATCTGTTCAAATCTAAGATTTATTTTTTTATTCCCGAATCGGGAATCGACATTTATTTATATTGCAGTCTGTAATTAAAGTAAATTCTTACTATATACAGTATAAAAATATAAATTCACAAATTCTTTTTGTTTAAAATTATTTGACCTCTGATTATAATTTCTTATCTATAAGAAAAAAAAGTATTCATGAAATAACCTTACTAATGTTAAAATTTTTAGAATGATATATTTGCAAATTCATTATTAATAAAATACATTTTGTTACACCATATTAATTTAAATATATACAATATTTTTCATGTTTTGATTATTTGAAGCAAAACTAAAATCAAATCACAAGTTCTTGCTTTATAGGAAAAGCATACCATTATAATATTACCAAATATTTTTTTTAATTGTAATCATTAACTATACACCAGGATTATTAAAACTTTTTTCTGGGAGAATATAAGGACCTATACATAAAATTATTAATTTTAATTTATAAATATATTGATAAATCCATAATCTTCGATTAATCCTTGATTTCTTACATTTTAGAATTGTTAAAATTTGACGCTTCTAAATACGCGCTTTCCAATTCAGATTGAGTCAACGAATCTAAATAAAAAAAAAAATGAGAAGCTCGAACCGATGAGTAAACATTTAAGCATCTAATCATTGAATACCTAAAGATGATGAGGAATTTGCTGAATCAGTCGCACTAAGAGATTGTTGAGAATCTGCTGATGCTGCAGGTCCTTTTGTTGTTATATTTGAAGGCTGTTGTGAATTTGGTGTTAAATTAATTATCGGAGTCCCCGTTGAATCATTATTTTCTGAAGAATTATTTGTATCAATAGGACCGGCATTCTGAGTTATTGGTAGAAAAGCTGCAAGATCTTGCCTTTCCAATTTTGCTAACCTTTCGCTCAAAGAAAATTCATCACTCTTTTTCAATAAATCATTTTCTTCATCAAAATATTCATCATAATCATTATCAGGATCAGGGTTGGTAGCCATAATACTAGTAGCAAGATCATGCGTATCAAAAGACAATGGATTTGAAAGAGTTCGAGATAGAGGCATGGTCATTGATGCAGCAGGTGTGGCGAAAGACGTATTTGTTGATGATTCTATCGTGGGTAAAGTTGTTGTATAATTGTCTTGTTTTTGAGTGAGATGATCAGTTGTAATTGTTGAAACAGATGAAGAAGGAGATGTTGGACGCCCTGGTACATTAGTCATTCCAATTGGAAGGGGAGATTGTATGGATTGCGTATGAACTAATACATTTTTTACTATATTAAAGATAATCAAATTAGTCTAATCATTTCAATAAATTAAACAGAGTAACAAACTACTACACAAATTAAAACCTTGAGATGGTTCAATGGTCGATTGTACGACTGACGCATTCAGAGAAGAAGAAGCCGATCCGCTTGTTTGCTTGCGCCCATCTGTCAAACTAGTATTGCTTCCCGTCCGTGTCATATCCTGTGAACCAACATGCCCTCCACGAGATGTGATGTGGTGTTCTCTGCTTGCATTAGACATTGCGGATAGCGGTCTTTGGTGACCAATGATCGTCCCATCACCCTCAAATATCGAAACCTTTGTTAAAGATGCTCGACTTGATGCCCTATTTCGACTACCTATAGTTCCGCTATTGCTAGCACTTAAAGTTTCCCCTCGTCGTAACTGTTTCTGAACCCCGCGCAACTGTGTTTCATATAAAAACGAAGCATGTCGCAGAAGATACGGTACAGGCACATTTAAAAGACGGGAAGCTGCATACCCTATTTCAGGTAGAAATAAAAATACATTATCGATTAGTAAATTAATTATTATTATTTTTTATTTTTTAAAAAAAGGAGAATCGTTACCTACAGTCAATGCTTTGTCGTTTATTTTGCGTAAGTATTTCCCATAGTTTTTGTTCCATCTCCTCAGTCCATACAACCTATATATTAAACAATTTTAGAAATGGTGTTTTAGATGCTTTTAAATGTGAGTTTATTTAAAACTCACAGAGGGCGGCTCAACGAAACCATGAGGTCTTTTATAAGGGATCCTTATAACAACATGCAGTGGCTGTTCTGAAGACATCTTTTTTTTTAAAAATAAAAATCAAGTTTAAAAAGAATTATTTTTTAATTCGGATCATGCACGTTTTTTGTGTATGATAAATAATAGAACACCAATAAGGAAATTTGACCACCAGTTTTTTACATAAGGCTATCTCATCATAAATTAAAAAATTTTTTTTTTGTAATTATTTATTTATGATAGAAAATTCTTTCTTTGCTAATTAATGCAAACAATAGTAAAAAAAAAAAAAAAAAAAATTGTCTTAAATAACACCTGTTTAGTGTATTCCTGTTTTTTTTTTATCAAAAAGTTTTTCGCTAAAAGTGCTTAATAATTTTCATAAAATTTCTCTAAAAAATATAGCTTTTCGAAATTTTACAAAATTGTTTTTATCTTTATAGAATATTTCTATTATTTAGTTAAATTATAACCTATATTTTGACTTTATAAAGTAATACTAATAAAGTTAGTTTTTTTTTAACGTGCTTTTATTTGTAACGTTTGATATCTTTTTGCAAGCTAGTCTTATTTTAATTTAATTCAATATAATCCTCCGTATAAAATTCACAATTTAAGAAAAAAAACAATGGATGATATCACTTATCAATTGGAAAACTCGGTGCAATTTTGGGAAGGTGCGTAGATTTTTTTAATCTGCTTAACTAAATTATAATATTTATATATATATCTTTATATTCATAGAATTAGATGAAATCCTCGCACGAGGTGAAGAAAATCAAAGTTCAGCGCTAAGTTCTATTGATTTATACATAAAGTTTGTTTCTAATTTTCAAGGTAAATGATTGGATCGAACGGTTACCTTATTTTATTTCATTCTTTTTGTCTAAATTTCCCTCTTCACAACTTTTAGATGAATTTCTTGAAAATGTAACGGAACTTATGGGCTGTTGTTACAAATTGCTTGTTTCTCCCATCTATCGAAAGTTTTCTGATACGGTTATCGAACGCGTTATACAACGTGCATCAAAGCAAACAGATGTTAAAGAATTATGTGTATTATATAACATCTTGTTTCTTGCAGGAAAAGAAAGCAAAAAGATCTTTGAACAAATGTACGTACGAGAACAAAATTTTGTATCGAAATTAAAAAATCACATATATGAGAATAAAGTTGGTAAGTTTACTACAAATCCTAATCATCCTTTTAATGGTAATGAATTCGGAAATTTATTAGGCGATTTTTTTTTTATATTAGATAATAGGTTGCAACAAATTTCAATACAGTTGCTTTTCGAAATTTGCTATGTTCAACGATTATCACCTAGCTTATTAAGTAAGATTACAATTCATCATATTTAAATGGACATATATATATTTTATTGATTTTGATATTAATATGACATTTTTCTTTAATATAAGACTTAATAGATGAACCATTTTTGAATTATCTCCTTGATTTGGTAGAGAATACAAGAGATGATGAGGATGAAACTTTTAATTACTCCATCATCCGGTTGATCGTAAGTTCGTTCATTGCATGTAGAAATCATCTTGCATACTGAAAATGAATTTAAACCATAAATCACCTTTTTTTGTTGGAACTTTTCAAGCTGTCGTTTAATGAGCAATTTATGTTATCAGTCATGTCGCAAGGAGAGGATGAGGAGGATGAGGATTGGAATCCCAATACTGTTCTACGAGTATTGGGAGCGAGAATCGGTAGCAGCAAAACTTTTGGCGAAAATGTAATATTTATGTTAAACCGTGCAGGTATTGATTAAAGTTCAAAATCACTATTTTATTAAATCGTATTGAGTTCATTAACACTTAAGTTTGGGATTTGTCTAGTCGATCATCATATACAATTGCTTATATTGAAACTTTTAAATGAACTATTTTTTACTCCGGAAACATACGAATTTTTTTACACAAATGATTTGCGGGTTTTAATAGATGTATTCATTAGAGAACTCTATGATTTGCCGGAAGAGAGCGTGACAGTGAGTTCAAATGACAAATTTCCTACATTTTAATTCGTTTTGTATTAACGTAATTTCTTTAAATGTAGCTTCGTCACGCATTTCTACGAGTACTTTACCCATTAATCACAAATACTCAGTTGTGCCAATATCCATATAAACAACAACAGATTTATAATTTGCTCTTAGATTTGAATGGAACTACGACAAAACAATTTAAACCCGTATCGCCAAAAACACAAAGTTTAGTCAACAGGTGTTTGATGGCAGAATATTTGAATGGTATAGCCTCTCCTCATAATTTTGGTAATGGAATAGCAAGAAACCCTACTCCAAATGCTCTTGTTATGGATCTCGCAGTAAATACAAATTCTTCAAATGGAAATGGACTTACGGTCAATTAAAAGATCTCTTGGTAGTGTTCATCATAAAGAATTTTTCGAGTATATTTAATATTTCCTTAGTCTTTTTTTATTTGGATAAACATTTTTTTTTTTTTTTTTTTTTTTAAAAAAAAAAAAAAAAACGGATTTAAAATTTGAACATTTCTAAATTTTACTTTAATCAATAATCAATTTGTGACAATAATTCATTTAAAACATTAATAATTTTCTTTTGATCGTGTTTTTTTTATTTTTTACTACATTTACTTTTTTAATACCTAATGAAAATCTTAGCTACTCGTTAATATAAATTGAATTTACACATTAAATTAGACAAATTAGAATTTAAGAAACAAAATATTTTCACATGATAATTAACGAATTTTATATGCTGTTCAAAAATCTACCAGAAATATAAAATTCCAAACAAGGTTAACAGTTTTGTGGCGAGCAAAAATTTTGTGCCAACCAATCACGTGCAACGGACGTGTTCTAATTAGCATTAAATAGATATTAAAAAGTATGTATATTTACTACTATTTTAATAATTAATTTCCGCTTTTTGTTCCCTAACTAAATTACTACGTAATTATGGACAACTGAAAAAGCGGATAAAAAATATGAAAAAGGTAGTATTAAATTCTAAAGTTTATTCTTTTTTGAACTTGATGACTATCTATTGATATAAATAGTTAACTTATCATTATTAACATATAAACAGAAATCTTAATAAAGAAGCAATTGTATTTAATTTTTAATCATAAATCTGCAAACACACATTATACAGTAAATAAAACATCAATATTTAATTTTTTTAAAAAAAAATAACTAAACCAACAAGTATTAAAAATAATTTCAAATCTGAAAAATTATGCCTTATATTTTATCATCTCATTATAACTTTATTTCAATTTCAATAATTCTTTCTTATAAATTTATAAATTATAGTTTATATACAATATTTAAATATCAACTTCATTAGTTATAAATTTAATAATTCTCATTTTCTTAAATAAATTAATTTAAAAAATTAATTTTAGGTTCTTTAATGAGAAGGACTTTCAGGAGGAAGGTATGAAAGTTATTATGTAATTTTATCAAGAGGTAGTTTATGTAATATTTATCACGAAATAAAAATTTATTATATTTGAAAATTTTGATACGAAAGAGTTACAAGAATCTAAAAATTCATTTTGCTTAATAATTTGTCTTTTAAAGAAAATAAATGACCATCTTGGTATTTAGTTAGATTTTACTGATAACGTTGCTTTTTTTCAGTGAAAAGCATCTGAACGACTTTTTTTTTTTTTTTTGATGCATAATTAGAACATAAGCTCTTGTTGAAGAAGAGCTCCATAGCAAATAAATCACGTGTGATAAAAAGTGTACATATTAAATTGGATTTTCAAATCGACAGAAAATATAACATTTATATTTTTTATGGTGAAGGAGACAAATGTTTTGTTTAGCACTTGAAGATTGTCATGGAATAATCTTGTTACTTTATTCCACACCACATACTGCAAGAAATGATCCATGGACGTTTCAAATAATATTGAGATCGATAATTTAATTATTTGTGAACCATTAAATAACATCTTTATATTGCAAAAATATTTTTTTCTATTGATCATCATCAAAAAGATATTAAATTAAATTAATTTAATTAAAATACAGACCCGGGTCCGGGCCGACATTTTAATTAGGCAGTCCTTACGAATTAATAGTTTACTAATTCTAGAGAAGTCTAATTGCTTATATATAATTACTCCCAATCAAAAAAATGTCATAAATATCAAAAGTGGCAATTTTGATGGGACCCAAATCCTATAATTTTAAATTTTAAGAAATTCTGGGATTCCAAGAATAGACAAGTTTAATAATAAATTGTTTTCTTAAGCTTCAATTATGCAGGCCTCTAATAATAGTTGACTATATTTCGTGTTAGATGGTTGGCAATTGACCTTGAAATGACCTCAAATGGCCTCAAATGACATCATAATTTCAAAAAAAAAAAAAAATAGTAAATGACGGTCATCACTGGTTTTGGATGTATCAATTTTCTAAATTTCTAGGCATCGTAAGACTCCAAAAAAATTTTGCTTTTATGTCCAGTAAACAGAAATGAAAACCATTAGTTCCTTGCTTTTTAAATAACGAAGTATAAAAAATCATGTTATGTTTTATTAGTTCTTAACCTACTAAAACTTTAAATTAGTTCTCTATAAAATAATTACAACTCGTCTATCTCGTCTATGTAATTAACATTTGAATTTGTTACATAAGTTTGTTTGCAATTGCAAATTTTTAAAGTGTTCCGTTCCGTTCTAATATGTCTTGATTAAAAAAATAAAGATGTAATATGATCGTACTAAAACCGCTTTCGTAGAATTTTTTTTTTTTTTTTTTTAAAAAAAAAGAGCTTAATTACGCAATCAGTTAATAATTTTTCTTTCTCCCGGGGTTGGTATTGCTTGCCTTCGATATTTCCTATCCTTATGCCATCTATATAAAAGAATACTTCCAAAGGATAAAGATATACCGCTAAATAAAGATCCTATTACCGCGCCAACCAGAGCTCCTAGTCCATTGGACTGCTGTAGATAAAATGATGACGATGATGGCGTTGGAGGCATTGGTAGAGATGTAGTCTCAGGAGGACTAGGGTCAAAGACGTTCGTCCACTTATATTCATCATTATTGCTAATATCGAGCAATAAAACGTCATGTTCTTTTAACGTTGTATTATAACCCATTCCTATTTAATTTAAAATAATTTATAAGTTAAATTCAAACATCATATACAAGATAGAAACAAGATTTTACCGAACGTTATAACCATAAAATTTCCAATCACGTTCGCTTGGTGCAGAAATCTGGCTTTTGGTTTCCGTCCAGAAGAAGTTTTTGGAATGGACCATACAAACGTCTGTAAATCTAATACGTAAAGTGCCTCCGGCAAGTAAGTTTGATTACCACCAAAAATTATTAATCGTTTTCCATCTAACCCTGTTACAATCATACGGTTAATTTCCAATTTCAAATATAATTTTTTTGTAATTAAAATTTTGTAAATAAAAATACTTTACCTAGTACGACGGAAAACCCCGATCTAGCGGTAGGAACGTTTCCCGTAGATTTCTTGATAAATAAATATTTAATTACTTGAAGGATATTGATTTAATCAACAACAACACTTACTCTATTGGTCCAACTATCATTCATTGTGTCATATATGTGGATCTAAAATTAAATGATTACCGCTTTTTAGTATTTTTTTTTTTTCTTAAAAAAATCCTACAATTGAAATTCACCTCGCTCATCTGAAATTCTCCAATGTCATCAGCTTTGCCACCTAAATGTTAAATAAGAAGGGATTAAAATCCCGTGAAATACATATACATAGATAAGAAATTATATGCCTACCGAAATAGGCAATGTATTGATTGTCAAACAAAGCTGCTCCGTAATGTTTCCTTGGAGAAGGCGCATTAACCGAACTTCCCGTTGTAAAGTTCATGTTGATGGTATCAAAGATAAGCATATCATTGGATAGTTGTCCATCTATCAAACCACCGAATAAATACATTTTTCCGTTATGCATGATTCCTTTTAGGCTGTCTTTTTTAATGTTGAAATTTCCATCAGTTAATTTTGGTACACTCCAAGAATTTGTTTGTGTATTAAACGCGTATACTAAATTCGTATCCATACGTGAAAGCAACGATTTCCCACCATATAAAAGAAAAGTGTTATTGTTTGCGCAACCTATGGAGGATGTAGCAGCGATATGGTTTGGGATAATATCAAAATCTGTTTGGTCAACCCATAACATGGTTTTGGTGTTGAACGGTATGGACATGTCAAAGTAAAAAAATTGTTTGTCTGTGCCAATAAAAGCTTTATTCTTTTCAGTTATATAATTATTTTCATTAAAAGTGAGTCCACCCAAGATATATAATTTATTATCAATATGTGTAGCAGTATGAAGGTATCGCTGCGTTGGCACGAATTCAATCGATCGGCAACTTCCTTCAAATGTTAAGATTAATATTTGAATTAGTGAAAGTAAAATTAAAGAATTCTTGGACATGATTACACTTTTATGTAACGAAAGGTAGTTAGTTTTTTCTATCAAAGTTTAATTAAGGAAGTGCGGCCTTCCAATTTTTTTTTTGAGTATAAATATAAAAAAATTTCTTGCAAATATTAAGATTTGAATTAGTGGAATATTGAATTGCATGTGGAGAAACGTAAAGCCGTGCAACCAGATAATATAAATAGATTTCGTTTCAAAACAATTAATATAATGTTTGTTCGGGAAACAAAGGGGGATCAAAAAGGAATAGCATGATGGCAAATCGAAAAACCTAAATTTGACACAAATAAATTTCATTTCAATAAATAACCAATAGAAGATACTCGTGATAAAATTTTTGAAAAATAGTGTGATCTCCTTCCGTTTTTGAGAATTTTTTGTTTTTTAAAAACCAATTATATAAATAATTTACATATATAGAAGGAAAATGTCATAAGAAATTTCTTCGTATCACCTCAAACTTCCCAAAGCGCCAGTAAGGGACCTTTGTTTGTGGACTATTTCATGTGATAAAGTGGTCAAAGGACTCATATTTCTATATACGAACAGAGTTACATTATGATATCTTCCATTTTCTAGAGCATTCGAAACCTTAATTATTATATCCAATTTTATCTTCATAAAATTTAATTGGATTTTTTATTCTTATCCCTTATTATCTTTCATTACTATCATCATCCCAATTTTCTATAAAATCAGCAGATTCTAATAATTTTCATTGGTGATTGTTAAGTTATTAAAAAATTTAGTTCGATACTTTAACAAAAAATGAAAGTTTCTGCTTCATTATTTGATTCTAAATATTCTAGAGAATCAAATTTGTTATCTCTTTTTATTTTTTAAAAAAAAAAAAGATTTGCACCGCGTCAATTTTTATATTTCATATAATGATATAGACATGTCCGCTCTTTTAATTTTAAAATGATTAATTGCGAAAATAAGGCAAAATCAAGCCCTGTTGTATCGAATATAACTCACGAAAAAAAAAATTATTCATTAAAAAGTTTGAATAAATTACAATAATCAAATTTTCAAAATAAATAAATAATTAAAATAACAATAACAAGTTGCACTTCATTATTGATCAAATTGCGCTTTGTCTTTAAAAAATATCATATTTGCTTGCCTAATAAAAATGCAAAATCATATTTAACTTGCATTAAATATTTTATTTCGCGTTACGAAAAGTTAGCTTGATACATTTTTCAAAGTACTTGATTATCGCAAAAATGTAGTCATAATACAAGAATCTCCTTTGGTAAAACGTACGCCTGTTTGTCAATCACATACTTTTATAGGATTGACGCTTTTAATAAATTACTTTTAAAGAATGTCATTTACATTTTTTTTTTTTTTTTTAATATATACAATGTATAGCCATTGTTAAAAATTTTTCAAGACTAAATTCTTTATAGTAATTATCTTTAGTCATCATGTTCAAGAATTCTTTAATCTATTTAGTATTGTGGTTTTTAATTCAATTGTTAATTGAAGTGAACTGCCAATCAAATACTTTTAAGCCATCATTTCGATCCCTTCATACTGCTACATACGTTGATGATAAATTATATATTTTAGGCGGTCAACCAGATAATGGAAATCTTGAAAAACCAGGAACCCAATTCTTTTATCTTGATGTGTCCGTTCCATTCGTAAACAATCAAGGATTAAAATGGAATGACATATCAAACATTAACATCATTCCAGGGCATGTTGCCGCTACAACTGCCACAAATGGCATAAATAATACTACATTTTTTCTATATGGAGGGTCTTCGTCTGACGGTCAAATGGCTACAGTGTATACATTTGATACACGAAACAATAAATGGAGTGTTGCTCTTGTTAATTACAACATTCACAAAGACAGCCTAAAAGGAATCGTGAATAATGGAAAAATGTATTTATTCAGTGGTTTGATTAATGGTGTACAAACCAACGATATGCTTATCTTTGATACCATCAACTATATTATTTCATTCGGTAATTTGGATAATGCCCCATCTCCGAGGAGACATTACGGCGCAGCTTTGTTGGACGGTCAATTCATTGCCTATTTCGGTAGGCAAAGATTTCTTATCTGTGTATGTATGTAGGATTTTTATCCCATCTTATTTATTATTTAGGTGGCGAAGATTTTATGCAACAATTACTGATGAGCGAGGTGAATTAATTATCAATTGTATAATCTTTTTTAGAAAAGGAATTCTAAATTGGCAGTAATAATTAATATTAGATCTACCTCTATGACACAATTAATGATAATTGGACCATTAGAGTAAGTTTTAGTAATATATTGGAGTTAAATATCTTGTGATTTAAATAATTATTTATGCAGTTAGCTACGGGAAAAATTCCTATCAATAGGTCAGGTTTCTCCACCGTTCTTGGTAAGTATTTTTTACAAAATTGGATTGTTCGCAATTAATTAATCACGGTATATTTTAAAAGGGTTGGACCGACAACGATTAATAATTTATGGAGGATATACCGGTACAGAAAAAGACCCTAACAGTGGGCTCTACGTATTAAATTTAACAAGTTATGAATGGTCCATTCCAAATGTTTCTGGAAACCAGCCACTTGTCAGAACTTGGCATCGAGCAAATGTGATTGGAAAATATATGGTGGTAACATTTGGTAATAAAATATATTTTAAATTTTAAAATATGACTATCCGAATCTATTCTAATATATTAATATATTATAAAATAGGACGTTATAATTTTGAAAATTTAGATACGAAGATAAATAATGATGTTTTATTGCTTGATATTAGTGATAATGACGAATATAAGTGGGTAACCTTCTTTGATGCTAAACCTCCTCCTGAAATAAAATCACCGACACCGACACCTACACCGACACCGATACCGTCACAGTCACCATCACCATCATCATTATCTTCATCATCATCTTCGTCATCATCATCGCAACAGTCCAATAACTCGTTGATTGGTGCAATTATAGGATCTATAGGTGCTATTATTTTATTATGTGGTGGTTTCCTTTTATATAGAAGGAATAAATATAAGCGAGCAATACCAACTCCGGGGGAAAGAATCCATAGCATATATTCATAATAAGTCATTCAACTTTTGGATTAAGTTTATTCAGTTTAGCAGAGTGATTTTTAATGATATTTTGTTCTTATTTTATTAAAGCTATCGTTTGGTACTAGATATCCTGATCTCAAAATATTTTATTACTATACTGCTGTCCAAATAAATTTGACATTCATGATATGAAAATTTCAATTTTATAACATATCACAACAAGTGAGATTACCTAAATCTATGTTGTCCTTCAAATTTAATAAATTTATATCAGTTTATATTATTATATTATATATTAACTTATATTTGTATAATTAATCATTCACTTGTATTTTAAATTATATTTTGGAGAAAAGTGTGAATTTTCCTGTGGAAGGTTACCTTTGGTGATTAGGAATTAGCAACAAGGGATTAGCTCATTTGGTAAAATACAAGTCTCTATTGTTGGTTACTCCGCAAAAGCCATAATTTCAAGCCTCAGCCGATAATATAATCTTCATATTATAACAGAATATACAGGCATATATATATTTTTATATAACTAGTTAATTAATCATCAATCAATATTTTATAGAATTATACAATTTTACATCCTTCATCAATTACGCAATTTATACAAAACTTTATCAAACAATTATCTGATAAGATAATTCTGAACAACTTAAATCCATGTTCAAAACTCAAATATTTATGCTTATTATATCTATCATAAAGATAAAAAGTGGTGATTAAATCAGAAGATTGAAATTGGAAATAACTAAATATAGTGAATTAAAGATATGGCTGGCTATAGTCATATACATGGGTGCATTTAAGTATCCATTCTGTAGACACTTATTGAAAACTAATAAAATTTTCTAGTTTATTTTGATTTCAATAGATAAGTAAACTGTACTGTAAGATCAGATGATTTGTATTGTACGAATGATGATCGTATAATTGTATGTCACATAAGTTTTTCTGTCCTATCAATCGATCATAAATTTTTTTCATAAAAACGCGTCTAAAATAACTGTAAATGTAAATTTCCGTAAAATGGCAGAAATCCTGTAATACTTAATGAAGAACTTTCTGAAAAGTCAGATTGAATACTAAAAAGGGTAATATGCTTATTTTGCAGGTGGTTCATTTCGGTATTACCAATTTTAGCATTTATTCTTGATATAAATTAAATATGTATACTATATAGGCCAGGCCAAATAAATCTATAAACGCGTCTATTTTATATTTAATTTATTAGATTAATTTATATTATTAATAAAAATTATTTGTTTAAATCATAATTTTTATTTTTATTTATTTTATGGATAAATCTAATTGTAATGTCCTGTTACATGTCTTATTTGTAACTCCCAAAATTTTATCCAATCAAAATTTAAGATCAAGTGTAACGTCAATAATTTAGCAAATCAAAACAAATGATCAGTTATGTAACGAAAATAAGAATTTTTTTAAAAAATTTCAAAAAACTGTTTATAACTGAAAATTTTGTCTATAAAACTGTCTTTAATACATTAAGTAAAAGTTTTCAAATTAAATTTTGCATTTAAAAATCTTGTTTATAAAATATTTAATAAAATAATTTATTATTAAGAAAAATAAAAAAGGGCGTTACAAATAAGACATGTAACAGAATGTTACAAATACATTTTCCTTATTTTATTAGTGGCCCATTCAAAATATTGCCAAATTTGAACGAAATCTGAAGTTTGATATTAGGTCGGGCAAAAAAAATTTTTAGATTCTCATGACATAAAATTTTAAAATTGACACGGTCACCCAGTTTTTTTTTATATATATAAATTTTTTTTATATGTATTTTATATTATGTTTTGTATTACGCAAATAATAAGGTAAATGAAGGATTTTACTATTATTGTAGTGAGTGTTATATGACAGTTTCTGACAAAAAAAACGTGCTAAGAATATCAAGTTTCAAATAACAAAA